TAACATCACGCCTTTTATCCCCGAATGGGCAGGCAGAGGTGCACATTATGCCACTGTACAATGTAACACCCGCTTTTCACTATTTATGTTACTAGGTCTATGTAATAGGGCGGCACAATTCCAGACTCCGTACTACTACTGCGAGTTTTTTTTTTTTTTTTTTTTGATGATTATAACATTAACATATTTTTAAGTGCTATCTACATAAGTGTAAACTCTAAAACTACATGCTAATTGTATTCATACTTAAGATTAATTACGTATTTTGTGTGCCTCGTTGGCCGAGTGGTCGCAAGTGCGACTGCCGGTCAAGGGGTCTCGTAAATTATTACTATGTTTTAATGGGACTCATAACATTAATAGTGAAAATTGAGTGTTACATTGGACAAAGGCTTAAAGGCGCGATGCTTTGCTATTCATTACAAATTTAATCCTAGAATAATAAACAAAGGATAGTTACCTAGACTTAAGATTCACTATTCAACTAGCGCCTCCCAAAAGGTTTGCTTCTAGTACCATAATGTATGTAATTGGTATTTGAACGTCAACTTCTACCTACTGTTTTTATAATAACTATCGTGAGAATACTAAATTCACTAAAAATCGCGGGTTACTCAAGTAAATATACTGAGATAAGGTCTACTAGTTTCGCAGAGACAGAGGAGTTCTTCCTCGCTTCATTTTTCGAACAATACTTCACTTAAGCAAAGTACAAAAACGTATCAGTCACTCACCTCACTTAAAATAAAGACATTATGTCTAAAGATTCACCGACAACCTCGCCATAGAAGATAATTCAGCAGATAGAATCTCCCCTCCTATTACCATAGGAACTGCAAGGTCCATTCTACCCCCAAACAGGTTGATTTGAACCCCTCAACGCCGTGCACCTTTACAAGAACAACAAAGGAAAGTCTTGGTATTAAAGCGACCTTATTATAATAAACCCTTCGTATTATTAAAGACTGCGCGTGAGGCGCCGATAGCTAGGGTAAACAACATCCATATTGCCTGGGGTTATCGGTATAGTGATGTAAGGAGTTTGGGTTTTATCGATGTTTGCTGAAAATGTCGATAGAATTCCAATAATTTGTTCCAAGTTTGAACAGTCAAAATTGTCTTATGTTGTTAACAACAACACACAGCTCAGTGTGCTCAGTATACACATTAGCTTTCTTTTCATCAGAATGTTTATTTGTTTTTTATTCTTAAATTGGTACCTAAACAGTGCCATATGAATTTTGCTCCTATTGATGTAAAAGTAAAAATATAAACGATACGAGCATTTCAATTATTTATCAATACTATGTAGTAGTTCCATGACCATGATGCTGTTCAATTCAAGGTATCGCGTACGATATTCGATAAAACTACCATTAAAATAAAACTATCGACATTTCGCATCACTAGCTCACTACTAAGGGTCGGGTCGGCCACTAGGTAAGCTGTGTACACAGCCCTTACTACGTTTATTGCAGCACCCTGTATAGGTACTCAGTTTTAAACAAACTAGTGCCGTCTAAAACAATGGCTGAGTATCTACAATGAGGAAGTTAAATTAACCAAAAATAGTATCTTTGTTTTTTGAATTATTAATGTTTGAAACAACTCGCGTTTGTCTGTTTTTTAGTATAGGAAATATTGAGGATTACGCTTGCGTAATAGACTCGAGAGTCCCATTACCTATTTATTGGACTCATGGTCTAACTGGTTTATTTGATTAGAGAGGTGAAAATACTTGTATTACTTGTCATGACATGAAGAGATGTCTTTAGAGGTCAAAAGGCGTTTTATGTACCATATGTTATTTAGTTTTATAATATAACGTTGAATGCTGGTAACATTATTTGTGATAATGATAACTATATAATTCTTTGCTTTTTGACTTTAGCTGTCTGCCGACATCAAAAGTGAAATTGTAATGTATGTATTTCAAATGGAGGGACTCACTTTGTATTCAACGATTGAACTGTTCGGATTAAAACTAATTGTTACCATTTACCAACTAACTTGTATTTTACTCAAGTGAAACTGTATAAACCAAAAATCTAACCAAACTTTAAACTGCATGCTTCAAAAATCTTTAAATTAGTATCCCCACAATAGCCCCTCTAACAATATGATTCCAGGTAGTTTCATTAACCGAGTCACATCAGTTCACGTCCTACACGTAGGCACATCGACACCAATGAATCCTTCAATCCGTTAATTAGAAAATGAGTAAACAGTGTCTTAGTGTTTGTGTTGCGAGTTACACAGGCATCAGTTATTCATGAGTTTAACAAACTTTCGGTCAATAATTAAACTTGTTGTTTGGTCCGGCCGATGTAAACACGGGTTAGTGGCCAACTACAGGCCGTCTCGTTTGGGAATACTGCGGTGTTAAAGGGATGAGTTATCATTTTTAGAGCCATATTGCTTAGAATCATATTCAAAAAGATTTTTTTTTATATATTTCTACTGTTATCAGTTTTTCAAAAACACCATTTTACCAGCAATATCTCCTCCTACAACTGTTTCCTCAAATGTAAATCGAACCCAGCTTGTCCGCTTTTCAGCAGCAGAAAAAATACTAATAAGATTAGTATAATAATATAGCCCGTTAATGCGAACTTTTATAGTGTTTGTTTTGTTTTTATAAAATGCCCCTCAGTTCGGTATCTTCAGTGTCTTTTGTCATAGGTCTTCTCCAGCTGCTTTCATTGCACTTTGTCTATTACTACTCTGGTCCAGAAAGGTCCCAAGGCTAAGCGAAAGTCGTCTTCCCGACTTCTTCTTGAACGTCCCCGTTGTCTGCTTCCGTCTCTTGGGTACCTGATTGTTACCTGTTTACTTATAAGATAAGTAGACTACTCATAATAATATGGACTAAAGAGGGGAATATGTGATCCACAGTACTGTCGTCATCGCCCTCATAGCAATAATACTAACAACAGATCTAAAACCTTTACTTATCAACATTGAGAGATTCGTACAACTATTTCTAAACCACCACAAACAAATGAACGACAAGTCGCAAAACCTGCTACGGTAATACCCGACAATTTCGTCGCACTGTCGGCAAATGGCTACCACGGTAAAGTTCTACTAATGGAGCACTTATTCCTTGACCGAGTGTTCTCACTGAGACTCTGGACAAAAACTAGGAGTGTTATTGTTATTGTTGATGCAGAAATATTGTATTTATAGTCATAATAATCTGTCATAACTATATGCCTATCTATAGAGCATTAACACGTTAAACGCCTTGAGGGTCGCCGGTGTCCGATATTATCCGAGGATTTCCCTTCAACGACTTTCTATTATTTTATGTCAAAGACTTAAACCGGGTAAACGACGACGATCATAACTATTATCACGTCTATAAATCGTCTATGAAAAAAAAAAACATGTTAGTTCAATGTTAGGAGTCTAACCTAACATTGAAACCACATCCTTGTACATTGTAGTAGTAAAAACAGTTAATACACCAAGAAACTTTATACAACTCGAATTATTACTATTACAGTTACGTGTTTTGTTATCAACCCCTTTCCTATCACTACCTCCATCCATTACTCATACACTATGACATATAATATCTCCGTTCTATGAAACCACAGCATGAATAATGCATAGCATACCGTCACAGTACCGACCAGTAAATACTAGGAGTAATGGAATCAGTGCGCTCTCTTACTGTAGATGGAAAGAAAATATGGCCGCCATTGTTGATACATAGGTCTGTACCTACGTGGGTAAAAATGAAACAATGTTGTTCTTGTATTAGTCTAGTAGTTGGTTATTGTCTTCGTACTTATTTAATGTAGTCTTTCTAACGATTCCCGATGGTTTGCATGCACGAGAGCGCGGGATCGAAACCTATCAACGGCTAGTACCAATGTGACTTTTGCTGAGTTATGTACTTTCTAATATTATCTAGATAATACGGATAAACGGTAAAAGGAAACCTGGGCTTATAAGTTCTAATTATAAGTCTGAAATCGCCAACCCGCTTTGAGCAAGCGTGGTAATTGAGAAGGGGCCTTTGGGCAGCAGTGGCCTTACAGGTTGTTTGAAAAAAAAACATCGCAATTTTTTACCGAGTTGACGGAGTTCTCAAAAACGTATCGTCATAATATTATACTGTTATTGTTTTGTCTATTTCAATCATGGTGTTAAACAATAGAACAAAACTCGTAAACAAACTTCTATAACTGTCAATGAAAAAAGGTTAATCATCGAAAACCTTTGTTTCGCTGTAAACGTGATTTTAAAGCGTTCTGGCTGTCCAGTTTTGTGAACTAAAAATCCCTTAAATTAATTAATCCTAATTAAACATGTTCTGTGCTTATTTGAACGATAACAATGAATATGATATATTTTATGATACGCATAAAGTGGGCGTTCTCTACTTCGACCCGGTGCAAGAGCTTTGGATCTACGTATGTATACTTAATAGTAATGTTTGGGATTTTCATCTACTGCAACTCCTATAAGTCAAATTCTCCAACAGTATAAAACCAACATAAAATATCGAAACTATGAAACCCGATGCGTCTAATGGATATCAAACTGAAAGTGAATATGAACTACAAACCTACGTGAACGAACACGTTTTGTTTTGGCGTGTGAGTAAGGTTACCGGAGATCCAATTACCCCGTCCACTCCTTCTTCAATCTCCCCAAACCTTGAATCCCCAACAATCCTCAAATTCTTAATCCCCAACAGGCCGGTAACGGCTATGGTGTTTCAGATATCCATGGGCGACTTTGATTGCTTACAATTAGGTGATCCGTCTGCTAGTGTACCGAATTTATTTCATAAAAAAATTAAATAAGTTTTAGTTCACTGCATCTATGACCTAAAACTGTACTGAAAATCAAACTTCATGGTATAATCAGTAAACCGTATATTTAACAACCGCATCTTAATCGTGGAGATTACAGCAGTATATCTTTCTCTTTGTTCAACGGTGTATATAATAATGATGGTATTAATCCTTATTTTCTTGTTCCAGGATCTTCAATCAGAGATCGAGACACACCGCGATGTGTACGCGTCGCTCACGGGGACAGGCCGCCGGCTGCTCGGCTCCCTGTCCTCGCAGGAGGACGCCGTCATGCTGCAGAGGAGGCTCGATGAGATGAACCAGCGGTGGCATCATCTCAAAGCCAAGAGCATGGCCATCAGGTGAGTGTCCTACTTTAGACAGACTTTATTGTGTCGGCATTTCCGATTATAGTTTGTATTTCAGTTCATCCCCTTTGTTAGGTTCTGCTATCTTATAGATAGGTACGACATGTAGCGCTACGTCAGCAATAAATATTAAGTGTAACAATAAGTATTAAGTGTAACATCGAAATTTCAAGTAATATCTTGTAGTCTGGAATTAAACCTAGTAGAATGTTTCTGTTAGTCCAGTTAAGCTAACAGAAACTTAATCGGAAGTGGAAAAAAGCAGTGTTTCAAAATAAGTAAAAAGAAGCTCAGTGACATGTAAAATGTTGGTTTCCAATATCGCATATATTCCAAATGTTATTGGACAGCCGGTATTCCAGGCAGATTCGTCTAGAACAATCAATATGTCCACTAACCCAATAACCGGCCCGTTGCCCGGCGGCGATCGCGACTGCAACCCGTTGCGGCGACTGGTTGCTAAACCAATTACGTCACTGGTTGCTCGCTCTAATTGCCATTAATGTACTGAGGCTCGAATAGATACGTGTACTGACGTTTATGGCAGTTTATGTAGTAGGAATTAGTGTCTTGATCGTTGATAGGAATTAATTACCAAAGCTATGGAAGTTACAGAACATATTTGAAAGGTAACTATTTTTACCCGACTGCCAAAGAAGGAGGGTAATGTTTTTTATGTATTATTAAATAATATTGAAATGAAAATATTCACCCAGCTGACTGGCACTCACTCTAAGTATAAATAGGCGTTACGTCCAACGAAATAAAACGTCAAAACTCTGAGCGAAAAGTTACAAAAGTGCATACAGAAAATTCATATTCAGGTACGAACTATTTTCTGTAGAAAGTTCTGGAACCACCTTCAAACTAAAAGTAGAAAATGAAACTCATTTTGCTGGACCAGGAATTAATTTGCGAAGTGTCACAACATCGCACCCCCACTAGGGAGAGGGGAGCAGAGTTGTAAAGTCCCCTATAAAATGTATACTACTAAAGGTTTTTGATAGGAAATAAATTGAAGAGCTAATTCTATTTGGGTTAGATCGATCTTTGGATAAGGTTTGTGGTTGGTGTTGGCCAATTATTCCTGTACTTATTTTGTAGATTGGATTTTAGGGTTGACACAAGAGAAATTGGTACTGCTGTCATTTTTGTCGTTAAATGCAAACTTATACTAATCAAGAAATTGTTGGTAAAGGTTGGGTTTAAAAAAATCCAAAGTGACCCATCGCGCATTTTTAAACTGCTTTAACATTATCATGTCACACGATGTGATGAATAGACTTTCGTATCACATAATATTGAGTAAAACCTTATAAAACCAGACTTTAAATTAACCCTCAAATTTCACCCACACATGGGACTTTAAAAAAGTTCAACGTATTTACAAACGCTGAACAAAAACAGGCCATTAAGTGTTATTTATGGGGTTGGAAAACATGGGACGTACCACATGAAGTAATAAGGGAAATATGTCGCTTCATAGATGAAACTGATGGAGTGCTAAGATTTTATACAACGATGTCATACAGTTTGACACTTTATTAAAAGATAATTAAGATTTATATTTGAATGAAAACCATTAATAGGGCTTGGCATTACTGTCTGTCTGTTGGATCCACTTACAACAAGAGGTGATACGACCATTTTAGTTAAATGCGTTATCAAACTAAGCTATGAATAATAATTGAGTTATTTCACACAATTTATCAAGTTGATACTTTATGAATATCAATTTCAATGACAATTCAACTGTACAAAATATTAATTTGACTAAGTCAAAATTCTTCCAATGAGTTCCATCAGTCAAAATGTTCGAGAAACTTCTATTAAAACTAAAAATGTATTTCTGTCTCGCTTTACAATTTGGATTTTAAATAGCTGTGTCTCGCTCCAACGTTAAAAGGGTTGGCGCGACTCAGGGTTGTCAATTAATAGAAAATTAGATATTCACTTTGTAAAAGGAATTTATGTACTTACTGGCACTTTCTTTTACCGTATTATTTTAAAAGAAGACTTTCTTTTGCGAACTATGTCTGATATTATTAATATTATTACTGTTATTATGTCAAAAGGGACTTTTGAGATATTACCGGGACTATAATAATTGACTTTGGCATTAGACGTAATAATAATAGAATTTATTGTGAAAGGAAACAGATAGTTTTGATCTATTGAGTTTATTTGTGGTGATAACAGTCGAAGGTTTCGGAAATTAGAATAGTAAATCTATTAAAGGATCAAGTTGTTATGATTGGACTATAAATAACAAAGATGAGATTGAGAATCTCAATGGCCAAATTGTAATGGTATTACAATATGTACCGTTTAGTAATAGGATTAAAGTTAAAAGTACAATTTCCGTAGAATTCAAGGTACAATTTTTAATCCTAGTTATATCCGTTCGTACGCAAATATTTGTTAAAAAGGTACGTTCTTCAATTAAGTCGGAATCGCAAACAAGTAGATTTATTTGCGCGGCACCGATCGCTGACTCCATAAATAATCCTTCGGTAAAAAATTAAATTTTCGCCCGTGTAACGGTCATTCTTAATATCGGCGGCCATTTTAATTTTGAGCCAGAAATCCGGCGGAGAATTTCCCCGATGAGAATTGAAAGAGTAAAAATGTTATCGGAATCTCGTATCCAAGTATGGAGCTAAATGTAGTTTTATTTGAGTTTCATTGAAAATTATTTCATTATATTCCGTTTCGATAGCAATTTGGGATTCTGTTAGTTAGAAATGTCATTTGAGCTGTTCGATATTAACTTAATTAAGGTAATATTATTTTTAAGAACCTCAATTTCACAAGATAAACACTTATTATTTTACCAGTCATCTCCTTATTCTGCGTTTTATCCGCTGTTTTCATGGCTCCACCCATAGCCCGAAACCGATCAGTGAATTAATCATTCAAACTTAACAATGTGTAATAAATCTGGAGTGTTCCCCGTCCGGGAATCGAACCGTCGACCGTTCATTCTCAATTATGACGTGCCATCTATGTAAATTATATTTGCTTTTGTTTAGCTGTATTCTCATGTTAATCCGATCGGATTTTTCCCTTTTCGCTCTTAAAAGGATTGGACGAGTTTTGTTTTTCAACATAATTTCACGTCTGATTTCCTCTGAGGGGTAGCCAGAAGTGTATTACAGCGGTCGGACTGTTTTGTTGTGATGAAAAATTTTCTTTACGGAAAAGCTATTAAGTAAAAATATAATATTCTGTCTGATTGTACTTTTATTTTCAAATAAAAGTTTTACATTGTGTAGTTTAAAGCCACGAACAATTTATCAGTCGCTGCATCTCTTAACCTGTTTAAGGATCTAATTTCCACGCAGTCATAGACTGTATATTTGAATCAGAACTGGTCATAGTGTCATTGTCTTCAAGTATAGGTACCATTAGCATATAAGTAAAGTTTAGAAACTCATTATAATTTATTCATCTTTCATAGTCATTGAAACGAGTACGCGTTCGCCGATGTGATTGGCCGGCTTCAATGAACCAACCAATCAGACAAAGAAACAAACTGATACTAAGGCTCTGTACTTTTCAATCAGAACTATTTATGTGTCTTTCTACCACCTGCTAAATGCTATATTACTAGGTATAGCTATCATATAGTTGTTATATGACATATATCATAAAATGTGGCGATAAAATGATATAAAGAGGTATTATTACAGTTTTATACCACTAAACAGCCACTGGTTTATACCGACACGCATGCAGAGCGCGTTTTATAGAGGTTGGGGTGCGGTGCAAGTGTCGGCGGTCATGTAAATCGCTGATATTTGCACCTCACCTCGGAATAAGTGAAGTAGATAAGTAGGTATTTTATCTCTTGAGGAAACTGCATATTGAGGTTCTTTATTTATTCTTTTAAGTGAAAATAAATTCGCTACGAAAATGTAGTTATCAATAAGAAAGTTTATAAACACAGTAACTTCTTAACTAGCCTACATTTCATTTAGACAATCAAATTCTAAATATTCATAATCTATCAATTCTATTTTTATTTCCAACTACTGCACCACCAATCGACGGGGAATCGAAGATGCTTTATTTGCCTTCCTCAGAAGCTATTGTAGAAGTTTTATCATTGCTATCACATGTAAAGTGGGTAATAAAGCCGGCAATAGCCCGCGGTAGTACGCATTCACGTCAGCGGTTAAATTCTTATGGTGACGAGTTTTATGGAGCATCACATCGCATCATGGCGGAATAGAACTCTGGAATTGCTAATGTAACTATTTTGAAGTCTCTAGGAAGGTTGGTGAAAGAAGCAAAAGTTGTAAATGGTTCATTTCTCAATAAAACTAGGATTGAGATATTTATTCATGTTTTATATTTGAAAAGACTAAATAAACTGTAAATAGACTTTCTCAATTACATTTAATCAAAACTGAAGGGTATCCTAAAGATACAATACGTAAAATAATCACACATTACAATCTTCACTGAAATATTTACATACATCTCTTGTCATCCAAACACAAGCGAAACTATAATCTTATTAAAAATTAACCCTCGAATACCTGAATTTTAGCCAGAGCCCCTCTGTGGTGAGGTGGGGTCCCACCGACCGCTACGGTTTATGTTGAACTTGTGTCCTGTGGTTTGTGCCCAGGTGGGTCCTGTGGTTACTCGCCCTTTGTGTGACCCCACCCTACGCCGCCATGTTTGTATCACTTGCTGTCAAACTTTAGGGATTACGAAGGGATCCCATAGTATGCCGGTTTGAAATTCCTTTCGTGTATGCTGTAGCGATAGTGTGTTGTAATTAATTCGTGTGTTAAAGTGTGAAACAAGATGTTATTGTACTAAGTTAGTTGCTCCACTTTTAGTAGCTATAAAACTTAGATTGAAATAGGCAACTATTTAAAAACTGGTGTTGAAAACAGTATTCAACACGAGTTTATTAAAATTTTGAAGTCATACTATAACCAAGAAAACTTATTATGACTACAGGAATACTTGGTTTGGATTTAAATTGAAACGTAGCTATAGATAGTGACGAACCATTTCAACTATTTATCGATATCGATGAAAATATTTTAGTAGGTATACCTTAACAGTTTGCTTACGTATTCCACATTTGAAAATCTAATTTCATCGATACTTACATCCCAGCACTACCACTATCAAATCTCTCCGTATCACAACGGCAGACCTTTCAACAATTGTACTTTCTTTGTCTGTGCCAACTTTTTGAGTTATCGCCGTACTCTGCCTACCCCACTTCTTTATACGTCTTCATTTTATTGAGGATTATCTTTATTGCGATCTCGTGAATGAGGGGATCTCTTGGTTTTAGTTCTGAAGGATGATGTCATTCATTCATGTATCTATCTATATGTATACTTTAGTACGATGACATTGTTAGTACCTACATAATTATATCCTTTTAAACTCTGTCTCGAGCCGAGAATTTCGTTTCTAGGTTCTGTCATTTCCATAATTATTAGTACAGCTAATATATTTAACAATCCTTACAATGAATATGTCGTGGTGGCCCGGAGGTCGCCCGCTTCTCATGCATGAACGGGTGCAGGAATGGGTTCGTAACCTACCAACAGCAAGTACCAATGTAACTTTTTCCGAGTTATATGTACTTTCTAAGATTATTTAGACACCACTAACAAACGGTGAAAGAAAAACATCGTGAGGAAACCTGGACTTATAATTTCTAATGATTAGTTTGAAATCGCCAACCCGTAATGAGCAAGCGTGGTGATTAATGCTCAACCCTTCTCCGTGTGAGAAGATGCTTTGCTCAGCAGTGGGCATATATAGGCTGTTGATGATGATGATGATGATGACGATGACAATGAATATATAATGTATTGTCAATTGTCATAAAAACCTTTCCACTAACAATACATTCTGAATTCTTTACAGAAACCGGCTGGAGAGTAATGCTGAGCACTGGTCAGCATTGCTGCTGTCACTGAGAGAGCTCACTGAGTGGGTGATCAGGAAGGAGACAGAGCTGAACGCCCTCGCACCTCCCCGGGGCGACCTGCCGGCACTGCTCAAACAACAGGTATGATGATATTACCATTATTCATTTAATAAACTAAACATCTCTGTTAGTTAAAAAAAAATTTGATTAACAACATAGTGGTAGACGGAGGAATAAACATATGCAATGGCTTTAGGACCACCTAGGTGTTCAATGGATAAATAGATCGGTACGACTTATCAGACAATGTAAAGGTTACAAGATATTTTAAAGTACTATAGAAATCGAAGTAAAATATAATTTTTATAACTTTAGTTTCAATTTTAGCACCGACAGATACGGACACACGGACAGTTATGGTCTTCGTCGCGCTAAACGATGCCATTTTGGTCACAGCTCTCACCTCAAAATGGCCGACTAAGCAATTCGACCAAGAGTAATTGTTAGCTAGCAACTTGTTTCAAATTGCTATAAGAGAAGCTAGGAATAAACCGAGGAACACTGGATACTGAATTGTTGAATACGTTTTTGTTTTTATTGCTTTTGAAGTACCGAAGGATAGTGAGGTTTTACTTAGAAGTGCTACATCATAGAAGTCATTATCTCTTTCTGTTTGTTTGCACTTGAAACTTAAGAGAGAAGAAATACTCGTTTCATTTTGATTTAACAATTTTATTTGGTTTCTTGCACTGTGCTTTAAAGATATAGGTGTGTAACAAAGAATATAAGGCGTATATTGGTCGTCATGCAGTCATTTAAAGACTTGACCTCTAAAATTAAACAATAGTAAATATAGTAGTAACAGATCCTATAACTAATATTGAAGTTAAAGTCCTAAACAATGTGATCGTAAATCGGCACGAGAGTCAACAATTTACATACGACGATAAACAATTTGGCCGCACTAATCCGCGGATCGCGGCTAAATCAACCGCTTACCGACGCCATTTTAAGTTTAGAAACAAAACAGAAAAATGTAGAAGGCTCACTATGCACTGGCATATGAATTAGAAACCAGAAGATGTGATTGGAACTATTACTACCTACTTAGAAAATCTATTTTTAGCTGAAAACTGTAATGATGATGTAGGCAATAGAAAATTTTTTATACGTATGATTCGAAAACTTCAGTTAGTAATGGAAGGATACATACTATCTATGCACAATACCTATGTATTGTAGTTTCCTAAATTAACTATTGTTCTTCGGTTGTAAGGGTACTGAGCTTCTACCCTCGACTATATAGTGACTGAAGAGCAACAAAATTCAGAGCTTAGTGGCGGGAATGTGTGGAATGTTAACAAGCGTTTAAGGGTTCGGATAATCGGTCCTAATCGAATTTTGTGGCTAATGTTCGGGAAATATGGGTTCTTGGTGGGTATTTTATTAAACTAACAATGTTAGAGCATTCTTAGTCAAGACCATTACAAGAATTTCTTTGGGAAACGATCAATTTGATTATATTGCTAATAATAATCTAAATCAGATTACTATCTTCTTTAGGTGATTTGTATTTGAACCCTTTTTTGGTTTATATCAATTTAAAGCAGTATATTTACTAGACATGCAATGTTTCATCTTATCCTAGGTACTTTATATCTACCTCTAGAACTATAACACGACGACTACAGCTATAACTTTAAATTTCCATTCCAGGATGACCACCGCGCGTTTAGGAGACAGCTCGAAGACAAACGGCCAGTCGTCGAGAGCAATCTCCTGAGTGGCAGACAATACATCGCGAATGAGCCTCCGCTGTCAGACACGAGCGACACTGAGGGTAAGTAGCGACATCTGTTGACCGCAATATAAAGACGTTACAGTCTAGTTTTCGTTTCTTTTGAAAGATAGCACTTATTAGTTTTTTTTTTATTTAATTTTGTAGCTCTTTATTTTATGCATATGTTAAAATGATATATTTAGAGGTATGTGTACTAACAATGAGAGCCTAAGTTGTTGAGGCGACATAGTAAAGTAATTCATTCTTAATAGCAGAAACTAACTAGACATGTTCATGTTAATGCAATTGAACTGTTGAGTCTTTTAATGACTGTCACAAAATCCCTGGCATGAATATTACTTCGTTTCATACGATGAAGGTATTGTTTACTTGAAATTCCGTGAGGCCTCCATATATCTAACTGCTGTCAAAATTGAACCGAAAGCGAGCAAAAAGGAAATACACCATTCTGTGCACGATACGAAATACAAATTCCATCTACCGTACCGTATCTGGAAAACATGAAAAAAATTCAAGTAGAGCGGTAGAGCGGTTTAGCGGAACGAATGTTGCATTCAAAAATTACATCATCTCCTACTTTTTTGTCCTAATTACAAGATCTAATGAGTCCTTATCATGGGGTTTCTGAGGTACACAGACTCCTGACTCTGATTACGTATCTCTTCAAAGTCCACAATTTCTCTGATTATATCAGGCTTTCCGTCAATACATTCATATACAAAATGTGTCTATCTGTACGTCAGAGTGCGTTGTTCCGCACCAGTGGACGTTCACACCTTGATTGCTGGCTGACTTGCCTGATATTTGCATATTTGATGCTGACACCGTTTTGTTATTGGATCCTCGGTCTTGGTTCGAACCTGGTTCAAGTTTGGACGTAGTTTACATTTATATGTATCTTGTGACGTTAGCATTTATTGAATCTAAGAAAAGTATAAAATTACCATGCACTATAATGACGAAGATTATTGGGATATGTCAGTGGAAATAGTCTATGTTTTTCAAATGTTCCAAACTTAGATGTTATAAAGAGCATCTTACACCTGCAGAAAATAACCTCGAAAATCCCGGATCTACTGGCAGGATTTTTAAAAACCAAAGCGAAGAATAAAGAAACAAGAGTCCAAAGAAACATAAAACCTAACCCTAAAGCGCTATCACAAAAGCGCAGCAACAAAGCGGTGAACGAGTGAATGAATGAACGGGAGAACGCAATTAGAAGCGTACCGGCCGCGCTAATTGCAAATTCCGTACGGACCGGCTCAATCAATATAGTTTGCATTCACAAGGTGATAGCAATCGGCTAGCGGCAATCAATTGCCAGCTGCAATGATTGATTACGCCCGGCGATTATGTTTTAAAGCGGTCAGCGTTTGGGGGGTAAAGTGCGATTTGATGACTGTTTCAAGTTTTGCGGCTTGTGTCATGATTGTTTGTGGCTGAGAGCTCGGGGTAGGGGCTTGCTTTAAATCTATCTGTGGTTTTTCGAAACTGTCAGTGATTCTGCAAGATTTCATATAATGTCAATCAAAGAATGACCCATGAATATACTTCTTCTTTTTTGAGCGGGGAAAATCATCCAATTACTTCTCTCGCCTTGAGTTAGGCGAGAGGGAGTGTCAGACTCTTACTAACTAAAAACCACCCGAATCCTACTCCTGCTCTTCGAACCGGAGCACCGGTAACCCGTTAGGCCTTCCACGGCTCCGTATCGAGCATCAGCCCTGCCGGGCCCCATCTGTGGTGGTCTGATGGCTCTTTGAGGCGCACGCGGAACGCGACGCGCACCCAATATACCATAACAGAACTTTATACCAACAGCTTGTCAGTGAACTGGGTAATCCTAACACCATCAGTTTACATGCATAGCATAATAATTGGCAAGTCTACAAGTGCTGGGCTTACGTCCTACGATGGCTGCCAGCCAGTCTCATAAGACGAACGGATTAGACGTCTGAATGCCTGTCAGGTTCCCCTCCCTGCAAGACGTCGCTCATCCCGTTTTGACTGTAGAAACTTGCCAAATTATGCTTCTGTTATTTGTATAATTTTAGTTTTGTACTAGCTGTTGCCCGCGACCTTGTCCGCGTAGAATATGAATTTTAGATCATATTTTTTTTTAATTTGGGATGCTATATATCGTATACTACAAGCATATGAATATATGTATATTCAATATTACTTTAACCGATCGAATGCACGGATATGAGACCTAATATAAAATACATTGTATCTCGCGTTGATCCGCGGTAACACACGGAAAGTTAAAAATTATTTTAATATTACAAACGGACACTACAATTTCATCTATCTGTATAGATGTAGAGGACTTCCTTTCCAAAATCTTCTTCAACAAATCAAGATTGGCCAGGATAAAAAAAACTAAAAATCATTGCTTAGTAGTTACCACAATCAAAGCAATAAAAATACATATCTTAAACAGTGAGACCTATCTCTTATAAAGTTTTTAAAATAACACCACTAACTATTACTACAGTTTCAAAAGTAATTTTCAATAGAAACTGTACCATAAATTCCCAGTAAGAAATCAAAGCTATATCGATAAAGTATAGGGGTGTCGGCAACCGTCCGTTACGGCCATTGGTTCAGTCGTAAATTTGAAAATGGAACCGACTTGGTGAACCAATGCCCGGGGACGATTCGAAATACGTCAGCGAACCTTCGATAGTGCTGTCATTTTTATCGATAATTTAGAGAAGGGTAGTCGTTTATGGCCAATGTAACATTATCAGTACGAACAATGTAATTTATTGGCATGCTAATAAAGTAGTTGAATGATTACATCAAACTAAATTTTAAATTCATTACTTATTCGCACTCGAAATGACTTTGCAAAATAACAAACCGCAAACACCACAAAATAGAAAATTCCGTCTCTCCGCCTGTCCAACTAGAAAGTTTAAATATTCAAAAACTTTCTGAATTGCACTCAATATTTCAGGATTAAGTTCACTGAAATCCCCTGACAAAAATTGCACGCAAAAGCCGCTTCGTCCAAAATTCACGAAACTAGTGACAGGCAAAAACTCGACTAAACTCGATAAGTCGATTGGCGCGGTTGTCAGTGTTCCCACTCTAGTGAAAATATCGAGTGGAATTCGCAAGGCTTGTTTAGATGACAGCTATTTTTCTTTCATGTTTATCTCTTGTTTCGGATTTATTAGGGTTTTTTATTCGCAGATAGACATGTTATGGTATGGCATAGTAAATGTACCTTGCAAACTTCATGTCAGATGGTTACGAGCGACCTCTACTTTCAGTTGCTTCAACATAATTCAAAGTTATTGAAATATTTATTTCCAAGAGTAGGGTAAACTAAAATAAAGGTTTAAAAGATAGTAACATTAACAAAACTAAACAGGAACTATGTACAAAAGCACCGCTAACCAAATTACTGAGCCGTTACACAGAAAAATGTTACAAGATGAAAAAAATTGAAAAATATTCGGTCGACAGCGTCGCGGCCGACGAGTGCTTCGTTTGAATTCGTGGGCTAGTGACAAAGCGAGTGGACTTGAAAATCCACTGGCTTTATAAAAATGTCGCTGTAACGGTTCGATGTTGAATTTTTTTAGAACGTAGGTAAATTGCATAGACTAGGAGACCAATTTGTGAAAAACCTGTTGTCATGTCATTTATTTTGAAAATAGTCGCTATACTTTTTACGATTTTGTGTCGAAAATTGTAACTTAAATTTTTGGTGTTAATTTAGTAGACGAGTAACTTAAACTTGAACTATTATACCCTCCACAAAACTGACTACATATACAGACCCTGTTTCACCAAAACTTATAATAAACACTGGCTTTGTGAGATACCGCAAGCATATCTGTGGGTCGTAGCCCCATAACCTTCAAACTGCTATCATGAGGAAACTCTGCAACAATTCCTTTGCTGCCAAATTTCAACTCCTCAAAACTATGCCAGTGCAATATCTAAAGTGAACGCAGAAGAACGCCGACGTGGAAGTAACGTTGTAATTATTAAATTCCCCTCTCCCCTCCTCGTCCTCCCCCCTTCTCACGCCGTGCTCGCGCTCCGCTCACGCTCCAAATATTGAGAGCTCAGCTCGTGGCTCGTGGATGGCCCGAGTTGCTACTTAACACTGAAAAGCTGTGACATGTTTATTTTGTCGTTTGAAAATTATTTTTACGTGATGTAGTCATTATGGACAGGATTTCGCTTATCTAGGTGTTAATTCGATTTTTTTACCACATCTTTTGGCAAAACATTAGCTTGATTGTTCATACAATAATCAAATAACAGGTCTCTTTAAAAAGAAATCAATGCTAAACTGCTCTTTGATTTTATTGTCTACATACTTTAATATAAAGAGTGGTCATTTCATCAAATTTCTCAAAAAATCCCTGTTGTTGTGCGTTGTATGTATAAATATTTATTTGGTATCTTACCAGCAACTTTCTTTGCAGCGAGTCGCGAAAACGAAGGTGACTCCCGTGGCTACCGCTCAGCGGAGGAGCAGGCTCGCGAGCTGGCCAGGTCCATCAGGAGGGAGGTGGCTAAACTGGCAGACAAGTGGAACACCTTGGTGGACAGGAGCGACGCCTGGGGACGGTGCTTGGATGATGCTGTACAGGTAGGAGCTTGTTACTTCTTAATTATTTAGGTGCTTTATTGCGATAATTTTAATTTTACACTTGAACGCCAGAAATAGATAGTATCGTCTGTGTGTCACGGTGTCATGTAATGTCGGAATGCACTAACTTTTTTAATAATCAAAATCAAAAGGATAGTATTATCTACTTTTTTTAACAATGTCAATTAAAATATTTATAGATTACTTTATTTTAGAAGAGCTGAGAATATAGACTTGTTAATTTAACATTATAATATGAATCTTAACTAAGCATCGCGCCATCTACATTACTTAGCTAGAATTACTCACTATTTAAACTCGTTCAATGACCACAGATGGCGTAACTGTGCGCTCTACAAACTTCGATCGTAAAGTTGATGACTTCATTCAAAGCTTGAGCCGGATGTCCGGTGGAGATGAAAAGTTCAACCCTTACTGTGATTTCTATAGATGTTGTACAAATTAACATGTGAATGAGATCAATGATTCACGTTACGCGTCATAGTTGAGTGTTAAAGCAAATAATATACTAAAGAAATGATCCGAAAGAAAAGTAGGTATAGGTAGCCTAGTATTTACACTTAAATACTTAAATGGTGTATATATGCCTCCCCCTATTAGTCTTGAGTATACTGAAACCTTTCTTCAAAACGTAACTCAAGTTGTTCACAGTGATGGAAATAATTGTGCCAAAGCTAACACTGAGCGTCTATTCCTTATCGTTGGAGATTTCAACGCAAGTGATATAGAATGGCATATAGATCCCAACTCTTCTCAATTGGTTCCCATTGCACCTGATGGTGCGCTTCATCATATCTTTATCGACTCCTTAGCTTTTTGTAATTTGCACCAGCACAATTATATAACGAATACTAATGGGCGAGTTCTCGATCTGGTGCTATGCAATGGTTCAGCCCATATACAGGTTTCGCCAGCTAGTAATTGCTTAGTTCCACCGGATCCACACCATCCTCCATTACATATCGAAGTACAGACAGCGAAAGAGAGTTACGTTAGACCTTGTCCCGCTCCAACTTACAATTTTCACAAATGCGATTATGAAGCACTGAACAATGATCTGGAGCTGGTTGACTGGTCTAATCTACTCCAGTGCTCGCTGTCTGTGGACGAGATGGTAGACATTTTTTACGACACGATCAATCCTATAATCAATGATCACACTCCGCTCCGCAAACAGCGAAATGATAACTATCCCGTATGGTTTAGTAAAACATTGCTGAAGGCGTTAAAAGAAAAACGGAAATATCACTCTATGTATAAAAAATATGGTAATCTCATGGATAAACTGCAATATAATATCACCAGGAACCGGTGTGATGCATTGATCTCGGAATGCTATTCAAATTTTAAGAAACAGTCTGTTAATCACCTGAAAATCAATCCAAAATACTTCTGGAAAATTTTCAAAGATAGACAGTCTAATAGTATTTCTCTACCCAACAAAATGATTCTGCATAATGAAACAGCTAGGGGGGGTCAGGAAATTTGTAACTTATTTTCTAAACATTTTCAAAGTGTTTATACTTGCAATAGTAGTCTTAATTGTAATAGTTCTTCCTCCCAGTGTAACGATTGGAACGGACCAATATATAACAATATAACGGTTACTGAAGATGAAGTCTTAAATAGGTTGAAATCCCTAGATATACACAAAGGACCGGGCCCAGATTCTATTCCACCTATCTTCCTGAAGGAATGTGCTCACAACATCAGTAAACCGTTAACAATAATTTACAATAAATCGTTACAGACTGGTACTTTTCCTACACCATGGAAAATTGCACATCTAACGCCCATCCACAAAGAAGGCAGACTGGACGATGTTGCTAAATATCGTCCAATCTCTATTTTATCTGCATCTGGGAAGGTGTTGGAAGCAATTGTCAATAGAAAGCTTTTGAATCATTTCCAACAATACATTGATTCAAATCAACACGGCTTCCTACCCCGTAAATCTACCAACACAAACTTAGTAAGTTATGTGTGCGATATTGTGGATGTGATGGATGGTGGCGGTGAGGTACACGCAGTGTACACAGATCTCAGGAAGGCATTCGATTTGGTTAACCACAATCGTCTTCTGGCTAAACTTGCCGAAAAAGGTATACATGGTTCATTGCTTAGATGGTGTTCGTCATATATATGTAATCGTTCACAATTAGTCTATGTTCACGGCTTCAAATCGAATGTGTGCAGGGTTCCCTCAGGAGTACCTCAAGGCTCTCACTTGGGTCCGCTCTTTTTCTTGATCTATATCGATGATATCAAGAACGTTATTAAATCTCACTTCAAACTATACGCGGATGACTTAAAAATCTACCGTGCAATTAATAATAATTCTGATGCCAAATTAATACAATCTGATCTTGATAATGTTTACAAGTGGTGCCTTGACAATTGCATGTCTTTGAATTTGGAAAAATGTTGCCATATAAAATTTACGAGAAGAAAAAATACTCACCCTACAGTTTATACAATAGATAATGTCCCTCTAACAGAAGTGACGACCATCCGTGATCTGGGAATAATTCTGGATAGGTCTTTAAGTTTTAGGTTCCACATAGATGACATAACAAAGCGGACCTCTCGAATCTCGGGTTTTATCAATAGACAGATGAAAATATTCAAGCAACCAAGTCTCACAATTTTAATATTTAATACGTTTGTTCGCGGTATTCTTGAGTATTGCAGTACGGTTTGGAATCCTAGTTATCAAGTGCATATTAATAGAATAGAACGTATTCAGAAGAGGTTCCTGTATCACCTAACATATAATGACTTAGGATGCCAAAACCTAAAATCATACGAACAACGCCTGTCAACATACAAAATGGAACTTCTTGGCACAAGACGAAAAATAGCCGATATTATGTTTCTATACAAATTAATACACAACCTTACCGATTCTCCTGATATACTGCAACGCGTGGCTATTTCTGTACCGCGAGCGGGTAGTCGGATATGCAATCGAAAAACTTTTCACCCACCGCATTCGAAGACAAATCTTGGCCAGCACTCGCCCATGTACCGTATGTGTTGTTATTCTAATAACATTTGTAAAGACATTGATGTCTTCCGTCTCGATTCTCTTGCCTCTTTCAAGAAGAAGCTAAGATCTTTTTACACATTTTGAACTAAAGTTTTTGTTTCCATTTAGTAATGTAAGATTTTTCTATTATGCATGCCGTGTTCACATCTAGTAGGATATAATCTTAATTAAGTTTGTTGCGGTATCTTATATGTATGTTTGATTGTATTCAGTTTTGTGAACCAAATAATAAAAAAAAAAAAAAAAAAAAAAAAAAAAAAAAAAAAAAAAAAAAATACTATTAGCAATAGCATATTATACTTGAAAAACTTAAACTTCTTGAAAGAGAACAGGTAATATGGTACAAAAAAAGTTGGCTGATCGACAATCCAATCATTTCTTGCCATTTGCAAGACAATTCTAATGCAGAATAAACTTCTGTATGATATTTTGGTATGACAAAAGAAATACATAATTTACAGAAATACATAATTAAACCACACAACATTCCTACATAACGAACAGCCAAAGAGGAAACCATAGCGTCTAACAGACTTCGAAACTCAGATTTGCAACTTCATTCAGCGCCATTTGACGGGAATGATTGATTTATAAGCGAGCCATAAACAAAATGAGCATGTCGCATGAATAGCTTGGCGCAGCTTAATGGCTTGTGCTGCAATAATGCAGGAAGCTGTCACAATGCCAGTTAATGCTGGCTCGGGAGGGAGGATCACGGCGCGCCCAGCCTCGCGCCGCGCCGCGTGTCGACTCAATCAACTCGCTAACTTAAACGTTGATGTAGTTTGATGGATGAGGCAGTTCGGTTTCAGTATTATTTACTATCTTGACTTTTACTATTGGATTCGTGAAGAAATCATTTTATTTGTAGAAAATATCTGATTAGACTCTTTTCAGTGAAAATGTTAATGTTCCATAAACCAACAATAGTTTAAGTAGCTTTTAGTTTAATTGGTTTTAGTGTTTACTCTATTTGTCATCTATTTATTAAATAGCACGAGTCAGGAAATTGAACATAATTCGTTTTTAGAAAAAAATATCTTTATTTTTACTTATCATTACAAAACAACACACAATACACTAATCAAATAAAATCTACTTCCATCAAAAGACAGAAATTCTCCTCCCATTTCATCACGCTCAAAATATCTAAAACTGTTCTAAAAGTATATAGGCAATAGGTTCACCTCCCATTACATGGGACTCATAACATAATTAGTGAAAAGTGGGTGTTACTTCTATGTGCACCTCTGCCTACCTGTTATGTTATGTTCTAAAAGTCCGCTCACAAACACATCCAGCAGCAATAGATCAGAAGCGCATTCACCTTAATTGTCGATGTAGTGAATGGTGTCGGTGTCGGGATGGCCCGTGAGCTGATACTGGAATGTGGGGCATGTCAGCTATGCACACTCCAGCCGGAGCCACTCCTCAACTCTCCACGTTCATGTGTTCATGTGAGAGTTGCCATTGTGTTGCGTTTCGCCATATCTTATATTGTGTGACTATTTTTATGTAGTCTAAAAGTATAATAGGGTATGTTTAATAAGCGGCGATGATATTGTTATTGACATAACTATTTTGTAGAAAACAACTTGGCATTTAAATCGAAAATCACCACTTTGTGGAGTCGGTTGAAAAGAAATGAGACGTACTCAATGGAAGTATACATTATTTTGATAACGCCTTTTATCCCTTCGAGGGTAGGCAGAGGTGTACATTATACCACTGTACAAT